TTATCTCATCATTATTATTTTTATTCTCTTGGCTGATCATATATTTGCTTTGGATTAGGACATCAAAAACACTTTCACCCTCTCTTCCTCCTCTTCTCTCCCTCTCCTTCTCCTCAGACACATTTGTACTGTTTTCTAAGGGTGACTTTGATTTGTTTTCCCACATAAAAGTAGTCAGAGTTAAGCAAGCTGTGATAACACATATAGAACTCACCATATATACTTACAGGGATTACTTCTCTGATTGCTCCATTGAAATTTGCATAATCTTCTCAGTGGCTGTGGCCACTTATGTGTATTTAAAGTAACTGCACAAACCTGCAGAGAGTATAATTAGGTGAAAACCAGCAGGAATCTAGATTTCCCCATGTGGTCTAGAAATTCTTTGTTTGCAAAAATCATCAGTTGATTTCTGATACTCTTCCCACCAAGGCTGACAGGCACAGTATCTTTGAAAACAATATTAAAATGCCTTCAAGTTCCAAACCTTGCTTTGAAGTACAGCAGTGGGAGGATGGTTGAGTAAATGAAAGAACACAGATACAACCCTTGTGGACAAAGTGAGCAAAGACTTTCTTTTTAAACCAGAATTCTTCAAGAATGACTGCTCTTCCAAGAGGTAAGAAAGAAAATGGACTAAACTCCACGATGTTCCATCTACCATCTGTGTAATTTAAGTTGTTAAAAGACTTCTGATTTGCTTCTTATTTGCAGTTAATAGCATCACTTCTGTAACAAACTTTCTCAGTTTTTAGTCTTTTTCCCCACCTCTATTTCAATAGTTAGAACATGGTATTTTTCCTTTACACTGAGATAAGGTAATGTTGCAATTCAAGCAATGTTATGATACTTCTTTGTAGATTAATGCAGTCTGTCTCCTACACCATAACAACATTGAATTAAATAAGTGAAATACAATAAGCTTCATGTTTTGTTAATTCAGCCCACATAATCATTCTTTCCTTAAGCAAAACTTTTCTATTCTCCTCTGTTGCATCAGTTTTGTCAGAGGCAGATGTTTAATTTACCTTCAGTGTGTTCACAGAATCACAGAAACACCAAGGTTGAAAAAGACCTACAGGATCATCCAGTCCCACCATCCACCTATCACCAATAATTCTCACTAAACCATGTCCCTCAACACAACATCCAAACGTTCCTTGAATGTTGTTACCATCTCTTTCCTCTCTCCATAACTCTTCTCTCCACGAGTCCAGTGCTTGTACACAAAGAGGAAACATAAGAGAAAGAAACTCTTAAAAGATATGTGTTATTGTTCTTACATCAGAATTCACTTGCTGTAGAAGGGAATATGTGACAACCTGCAGTCATTCCTGTTCTTAGGTCAATATGTTGGCAAAAGTATACAGTCCTCAAAAGTGAGGCTACAACCAGGGTCTGAGAAGCTATGGCATGAGCTCTTCTCCTTACCTTTTCTGAAGTAGCAAGCACTACTAGATTGCCAGAGCTGATACAAAAGGAGGGGACAACCTTAGTACCCACAGCAAAATTTATGAAAGCTCTGAAGAACTGTGGTCAGCAGAAGTTTATTTCATCTAGATGTCTTCTGAGAACTTTTTTTGCTTACTTCAAGGTAGTTCATGCACTGTATTTTTTATAAGGTCAGCAGAATCACATCTTCAAAGAAGGCGTCATTCCCACTTAGTTAGAAAACACAGAGTTGTTTATTGCTTGATTTTACTGCCCAGAAGAGGCCTTAGAGTGTTCAAAGCTGGGGCCTGTGATGAAGGGGATAAAATTAATTACTTCTTTACCTCAAAGAGTGTGAGTAGCCTCAATTAACTTGCACTTAAAAGCGCTTTGAAACTCTCACATACAAGTAACAGCGTTCCTCATTAGCAATTCCACATCAGGTATTTCAGTTCAATGGTATTTTTTTTCTTCTGCATGTCTTCTATAAAAAGAACAGCTAATGAAAGGAATACCACCCATTTCACATAGTAAAAAATTTTGCTAAATTTCCTGTATATAATAGATGGTAAATAAAACATGAAAACAAATAAGCAAAATATTGAAGAAAGGGCAAAAATTTAGGAATGTATTATGGAACCAGTCTTCTAGAAAACCCAAAAGTCATGATTAAGATTAAAAAAAAAAAAAAAAAAAAAAAAAGAGTAGGTGACAAATACTTTGCAAACACTGATATGTTTTGTATAATTACAAAACTAAGCAGAACATCCAACTAACAAAGATTTTCTCATAACATTGAATAATTACATAGAATCATACAATCCCCAGATATTTCTGGTGAAATTTTAAAACATTGGAAGGGTATTTTAGCATTACCAATCAGATAAACCAACTGTAGTTTTACAAAATAGTCAATTGACAAACAAGTTATAAAGGTAATATTTTTAATAATGATGATGTTAAAAAGGTTGTTCTAAGTAATACTGTAACTTTCGTCCACTGGCAGAAAAATTATCTGTTTCAAAATCTGATTCAAATAATCTGGTTCAAAATCAGCAAAGAAAGAATGTGCACTGTTTGTGTCCTTCAATTCAAGTGTAATACCAACAATTCTGAGTTTGCTTTTTTTGTTTTTTAACTTTAGTTAAATGGCCATCAATGCTTAAATACTGTTTATACCACTAAAAAATTGGAGAAGATCCTGATAAAGGTAACACATAATTCCAAACTTTCTTGGAAGATATATATGACAGATTTTGATGTCTTTTTTTTGAATACCTCTCAGGAAATAGAGGATCATGTGTCTGCTTATCACCCATCATGTGCAAATACAGATACAAGCAGAGAAATACATATTAAATCTTTTTAAAAAGAGGTGGAGAATCACATATATTTTGCCTTGGAATCCTGGTTCACAGGAAACAGTAGCCTACAGAGAACATCAAAGCAGTAAACAGATCAGAGCACTCCCACGGAACGTTTAGCTTAGCTGCACTTTCAATCGCCTTTCTAAGGACCAAGTTGAGAGAAAGAATTAACTGCAGAGATCAAAAAGACAAGGTATATCTTTGAAATCCCTTCATAGTCCAGTATTTTATTTATGACCAAAGCCCCTGAGTTGAATGTGAAAGTTGGTTTCCATGGATATTTAAATAACACTTTTATCAGGCATATCAGAATGACACACTTTGATATTTTGAAGTCTTGCAAGATCACCTCTCAGCCATCTCTGAATTCATTTGCGTCTAGCAATCACCATTTCTTAAAAGGAACAAGCAGTGGTTGTGGCTTGTCAGTGTAACCTCATTGCAAAAGAGCTATAAATGCAGAGTACTGAAGCAGAGAAGATTAACCACACCAACAACCTGTGACAGAAAAACCAAACCACTTGTTATTTGTTCTTTTGTTCCAGGGGAGGTTCAGGTTGAATATTAGGAAAAATTTCTTCTCCAAAGGAGTGGTCAGGCACTGGAACGGGCTGCCCACGGAGGTGGTGGAGTCACTGTCCCTGGAGTTGTTCAAGAAACATTCAGGTGTTCTATTGATGGACATGGTTTAGTGGGAAATACTAGTGGTAGGTGGACTGGATGATCTTGGAGGTCTTTTTCAGCCTTGGTGATTCTATGATTTTACAATGCTTTCCCTTGCCTCCTGTTTCCATTCACTGCTCGGTGTGTCTGTGCTGTAGGACAGGCCATGTGTAATTCTGTGCTGTGAGCAGAAATCTCTGTAAACTGCAGCACTGAGTTCAGCCATGTTCATCTGCCTTCCCTTCTGTAATGGTCCCACAGAAAGAAATAGAAATGCTCACTTAGCAAGCCAGACGTTTTTGAGTCTTGCATTGGTATGTGACATATTTTAAGAAAGGACCATTTAAGGCTGGAAAAGCATGATATCTTGGTCCTCCAGTGCAAATTTTCTGTCATCACCTACTAAAAATAAAATTAGATTAAATTAAAAAAAAAAAAAAATCAGCAATAGTAAAATTTGAAATAAAATTATTGGAAAGAAATTAGCCGCATGCTTTTCAAAGCAAATGCTTTGATTTTGAAACAGCTATTATACACATTTGTGATTTCTGTGGCTTGCAGTTAAATTTTAAAAATAGCACTTAAATATGCACGTTAATAACATCCAGAAGGCATATCTTTCAAGGCTGTCCGGGCTACTGAAGGGTTTAATTTAACCACAGTATTCATTTATGTCTAGCAGTTAGAATTTTCTTTTAAGCTCAAAGGAGCCCAGAGTTGTAACTATGATCTAATTGGTAAGCAATGAAGAATGTTTTTCATGTTTTATAGACAACATGAATCCTGATCATTTTACAGCAGTAAATTATAGAGTGCTCTGTTCACCATGTCTCCCTCTGGAAATACGGGCCTATATCTCATTAAACTATAAAAATAACTTCCTGTGTTTGGTGGCTCCTTGAAAGCTATCCTGCCAAGGTATGTTATTTTTATATTACTAATGCATGTTAGCTCGTCAGTCCAGAGAAAGTTAGGTTCTTTATGGCCTCAAACTAAATTAATTTAAAGCTGTATCCACATGTCAGGGGGGACTCATGAGGAACCTAAACTGCTATAGAAAACGATAATTTATTATTGATTTTGAGCTCCTTTTTAAAAGCAGCTACAAGTCATTGGTTACTCTGTTCCTTCTGTGCTTCAAATGATCTACATCTACACAATGCTGGCAACTTAACAAAGGAGCTCCTGTGGGTAAGGCAAAGGACATAAAAGTCAGGTGTGCTTTACTTCTTCTTGGCTTAAGACAAATGATTCATCACTTTATTATGGGGAAAAAAAAAAAAAAATCAGACATATGATGTAATTAATTTTTGTTTGGTTGGTTGGTTGGTTTTGGTTTTCTGATTTATTGCTTTTACAGGTTGTATGGTCGGACAAAATATCTCCTTTAAATTAATTACAGCCTTTAAAATAAAACCTACCTTTTTACTTGTTTTTGAAGCTATATAATTTTCATATGGTTGAGAAGTTTAGCTGTAGCCAGTAAAGTCAGCATACTACCACTGACAAATTGCAGGTCTTTAATCCTACTGTAATGTTTGTTACAGAAGAGCTGCTGCTGCTGAAGGCTAGGTTGGCAACACCTCTAGGAAAGGGAGTTCACTGTAAAAAAAAAAACAAAAAAGTGCCCCCAGAACCAGTATAGGAACTACTCCAGGATGAGGAACACTCTTCAAGGACCAGACGAATAAGAGCAATAGTTTTTTTTCTTTTCTCATGAGAGCAAAGCAGTGAACTACAAACATCTCCTTTTTTAGCAAAATAGTTTTAAGGAAGTCAAATGATATCCACCTTAATTGTACACAGTGAGAGATTTTGGGCATGGAAGAAGAAATAAAAATTATAATAGCCATTTTAAATCCTAGATTCAAACAGAGGTCTTTTTGCATTTAACTTCTTCTATGGAGGATTCAGTTAAAGTTTTAGCCCTTGCTACTTCTCTTTGATGATTCTTTGCTGCTAGTGCCATAGTTCCATAACCAAATGGCCTCAGGTCCAAACCCCTCTCCCCAGAATAGGCCACAGTCCTTGTCTAAACAGATTTTCTCTTCAGGGAGCCAGAAAGCAGCCCTCCAGGTAGAGAGGCCTGGTACATTATCACAGACACACTGTGAGCTTCCTGAGCTCTGCTCCTTGCAGCTGTCAGCCTCCAGCTGAGTGCCAGGATGCTGGCTGCAGTGGTGTGTCTGGTGCCACTGCAATCCCCAGCTAAGGGCCACAACAGCTAGCAAAGCCTGCTTGCCTTTCATTTCTAGCTCATGCACACCAACAGCAAAAAGAGGGGAAGGTCATCCAAATATGCTGGGTATGGAGTTAGATTGAAAGTTGGATTTAAACTTAGAATTCTCTTCAATTTGTTCTGCTGTATGAATGAGCTAGGCAACTCTGCAGTCATGAGTCACGTTGTCTGCAAGTTGTTTCTGAAACAACGTGGTTGAGAGGACATCACCAAATACAACCGACTTCTGAAGGCAAAGAGGTTCAAAAGTGGTAGCAGCATGTGAGGAAAAAATTGATGAGATCCAAAGGAACAGTGTATAGATTGTGCCTTGAAGACTCAGTGTGCCTTGCACTGTGAGCCAAGTGCTGGAGCCTTCACTGGCTGTGGGGAAGAGAATTGCTCCAAATAGTTCTCACACTGTGGGGTTTCACACACAGGTTCTGGGACAAGGTTTACATTACCTTCAATTCAAAGGAATGGAAAGGAGATGAGAGGAGTGACTCAGTATAAGGAAAATTTTTCCACCTAGATCCCATCTACCTTCAATGCATCCTGAAAAGCAGAAATTGAAACATTCATTGCAAAATGACAGGAATGAGAAAATTGTTACAGAAATATTTATACACATAAGAGCAGTAGAAGCATGGAAACAGAACCAGAGAGGATGCTATACATCAAAGATCCTGATTTATGAAGGATTATATCCAATCAATTATTACCATCAAACCTATGTTAGTAAAGAGCAGCAGTAAATTCTAACAGCCACATCACAAATATTAGAAAAGGGCTGGGATCACTATAAGAAGTGGATCTTCTTGCAAAAACAGAGAAGTGCTGGGGATAAAGATACAACCATAGAGAATCACTACTGTGGAAATGGTCATGGACCCAACTTCTACCCAGGCAGTATGCTGGAAACTAACACTACCCATCCTGCTGGGGGAAACAAAAAATGAAAACCAACACCAGCTCTACTTATCTCTCCAGCTTTCACTGCCATGAAGCACTTGGGAATCTCAGTTCCTCATTTACTTTTATCTATGAAATGAAGACAACTAAGGCTATCAAGAAAGAAAATAAAAACAAACAAAAAAACATACTGGCAAAGAAGGAGGATGTGGAAACATGCTGGAAGCTGATTGCAAATGCAATCTTTTGATCACATGATGCCAGCAAGAAATTAGTTCAAAGTACAAGAATTTTCAGGATAGAAGAAGAGAATGTCATTAGGAGAATGGGACAAGGATAATGCAAGGGTTCCAAGAGGCCACTACATCATCTGTTAGCATAGATCCAAATTAAAAGTGATGAATTCCTCAGGATAGAGCTCAGACCAGCTCACAGAAATATACAGCAGATGTACAAAAGCATTATATCTTAAAGCCAAGTTTCAGCCTACTAACTAACATTGATGTCTTCTGCATTACTTAGATCTGCAAAACAAAACAAAACAAAAATTATAAAATTAGCTCCTTTTTCTATTATCATCAATACAAAAATATTAATCCTGCGCTACAGCCTTCAGAAGTGCAATAGGAAGAAGCCTCATTAGAATTGTAGATGTTTTCCTTAAACAGAATTTGAGGTAAAAGTGCAAAATGTATCATTCAGTTAAGGAAGATGAAATGAAAACCACAGTGCAGAAGTTTGGAACCTAAACGTACAGATATTTATAGGAGGGCATTGCACCACTTACAAAAACTATAGAGAACTGTAATTACACAAAATATCTAAATACCAACAAAAGACTGGAGAAACTACACACAAATTTAGGGAAATTTAATTAATATTTGCACAGCATTACAGAGTGATGGTCAAGAATGAATCAAAATAATTATGGCTTGGAAAATTGTAATTTACTCAGTTTTGAAAAAGAAGATATGAAAATATACAGATACTTCCGCTCAAATACTTTCAGTGATGTAGTTATTAAAGTATTTTGTATTTAAGTCCATGTATTTGTAATCTATCTAAAAATTCACCGTGAATGAGTCTGAAAAAACTTCTGTTCCAACTGAGCTAAATGTCTGTTGAATATTAATGAAACAGTCTGTTTTAATGTGTTTTTGTACAAACTGATTACATTAAAACATGCAGTAGTTGAATTATATGGTAAGCTACAGTTTAGAATTCCTTATTGCATTATTAGCCCAAGATTCCTACATAAACATTGCAATTTCTAAATATTTTAAATAACATCATTCAGATTAGAAATAGGTTGCCTATTTTATACTTGATCTGTTTATATTATTTAAAAATGCGAATGTAAGTAATTTTTAGATTTTTTCCCCCCAATATTCCTTTTTCATTTTCATGAATTTTCATTTCCTTTTTCATTTTCCTTTTATTCAGTTTAGACAGATCTTGTTCTCTGAAAAAGAAACAGGGCCGAGACCTCTGAAAGTCATCTCAGTCAAAAATAAACTGTTATTTTTACATTCATTATCATTATTAGAGATCATTCTTTCACAGCTCTGAAATTCTCCCCAGTGGGCAGTAGTCCATCTTACTAAACTACCTACCCATAATTCAACCCAATTTCATGCCATTGTCTGTCTGGGCTCATGAAAGTCCAGCTTTGAACTACAATGGGGACTATTTTCCAGTGCCTCCAGGGAAGGAGCTAATTCTGTTGGCTGCCTCCTTTCCATTCATCTTCTCATGAATAAAGCAGGGCTTGACTTTTCCCTAACGCTGCCCATTTTCAGAAACGCAAACTTCATTGCAGTGAAAAGCACTAAATTAGTACAAAACCTGAAATGCCTTTAAAAAAAGCTACTCATTCTCTCGCAAATACAGAAACAGTTTTCAAGGTCCTGTGAAAAAAATGTCCATGGCCAGGGTCAAACTGAACTAATGTGTCACGCAACTCATCTTTTCTTATGCATAATCTGAAAAGTAATTGGTAAAACTGAAAATCAGAACAGGGGACTGTCTTTGTTTAGTCTTTAATACTTGATATTTCATTCTGCACAAAACAGGAAATTCTTCCCATTCAGCTTACTCCTGATCAAGCAGCAGCAGGGGATCCTGCCGTGGAAAGAGCATCTATCTAAATGCATTGATTCAGATTCCTAAATTCTTATTCCATTCTCACTAGTTTGATATAAAAAGTTTTGACCTATAGTGAGTGGTAGGAGGAAAACAAGTCATTAATTTAAAGGAACTAATTTGCTGTATTAATGAGTTGTGCTTTTTATTTAAAAAAAAAAAATAAAAATCAACAAATACAAAATGAACTTTCTCAAACACAGAAGAATCTACAGACAAGTTGAGTGAATGTGATATCATTTTGCTTACATGAAGAAATCATTTACAACATTCTTTTGACCCTTATTCAGTCATGGGTCGTAAGAGATCTAATTTTAAAATGTTATATGCTGCCTTATTTCCATATACATTAATGGAGCAGACAAAGATTCTTGTTTAGAAGGATGGTAAATTTAAATACTGCAGAGAGAAATGCTTTGCTATTGTGTAAACAATGAAAAATTGCAGCAACTACTTATCAAGTGAATGAAACTAGCTTCTGTGTGATGGTATAAAAAAGAGACAATTTCATACATAAACAGGAAAAAAAAGGTTTTTTTTTATGGAACTTACAGAGTTCATTCCAACATTTTTCTCCAAAGACTGTGAGTTAGTGCTCCAAAAGTTCTGTTTTCCATTACTCTTTTTGCAGATGATGGAAGCTCAGAACAGCAAGGTTTTGCTACTTCATCCACCTTGTATTTACTAGAAATAAAAAAAGTGTCATTGGTAAGGAACACAAATAACACTGCGTCCATGCAAGTTTAGCCAAGCAGAATCACTATAGAGGTGTGATCAGTGTTGTAAGCTCTTTCAGGTGTGTGTTGCCCAAATCAGTACGCTTGAGATCACAATTCATGCCCTTTTCTACTAGCAGGGAAGAAATAAGGAACACCTTCCTGTACATGCATAGATCTGTCAGGAATGCATATGCACTTTCCCATGCATTACATCAATAAGTTGTACATTCCATTACACTCTGCTCATTTCCTCTACGTCAAAATGGCTACAATAATTATTGAAAACACCTAACAATGTACCCTGTACTGTGAAATGAAGAGTTGACTTCAGTGTTCACCATTGTCTCTAATGCAACCATTCCCAAAACTGTACCTAAAGGGATAGGCAGTACATGAGGTTTGATCTCTGATAGAGGGCTTGCTGTATGTTATCCTTCAGAACAGGTTGCAAAATCAAGCATCCTTCACTGAAATTCTTCCCCTGCAGTTCCTTTGCATTTATAACTGTGAGAAATCTGCTCCACCACCTGAGCTGTTCTCAGCTGCCATGGTGCCCCACAAAGATATATGGGATCACTTACAGAGGTACAATAGGGAGCACTCTTCTGCTCTGCTTTCATCTTGCTCCCTGGTCGCAGATCAAAGCAGGGAGGCAAGCAGAGTAAGGGCATGTCTACACAGAGACATTCCATCAATCTAGTTTATTCTCTCACAGTGCGAAATTTAAATGTAACTCATTGAAAGGCTTTTGCACTGGTCTATCATGACAGCTTAAAATACTTTCCTTATTAATTGTAACACCCAAACAGCTCTGTACTTGTCTGAACTAACTACCCTAGCTTCTCAACCAACATTTCACAGAGTAGCGTTTGCAACTGATTTTTCCTGTGCTGTAGGAAGGCCCACTTGAAACTAAGGAATTTGTAGTTGGGGTAACAAGACAGTCAAATTCACTCCTTAAAATCTTTTCACAGAATCACAGCATGATAGAATGGCCTGGATTGAAATAGACCTCCAAGATCATTTAGTTTAAAACCACCTGCTATGGGCAGGGTCACCAACCAACAGGTTATGCTGCCCAGAGACACATCCATCCTGGATACAGTACCCAGGTTTCCTGGTATCCATTAACATAAACAGTAGCATTACTCATCTGCTGTCATACAACATAAAAACCTATTACTCAACACCATAATTATTATGATATAAGCCAAAAAAAAAAACAGTGGGCATATTTTCCAAGTTCACTGGTAGCAGAGTTTCAGCATGGGAAGACCTGCTTTCCTCATGGGATAAAATGAACAGAGATGATCTGTTCAAGAAGCTGCAGCTGGTAAACACCACCATGAAGACTCTCCTTGGGTCACAGGAACATTGTGCTGCCCAAAAGTGCAGGTCAATACCCATTGTCATCATGAAACACAAACTAAATCATTTGATGTTGGCAGATCAGCAGTCAGGAGCTGTTGTAGAGCTTTGCAGTTTCACCTAGAGAGTGTTGCTTGGTCTGATGCCATGCCATCCTCTTTTTGGCAGCTAGCATTTAGTTCTGATCCTTAAAGGCCTATCAGATCACAATGGAAGAACCATAAATGACAGAAAAGGGTGTTTCAGAGAAGTACCTGATCTTAAAATATTTAGAAACTGAAATCTGCTTGAATGCAGGAAAATGAATTCCTCAACTATTGAGAACTCAACTGAAACTGCTCCTCATGTCACTCCAAGGTGGCAGAATACTTAAACTCTAACAGATGGAAATTTCCAAGGCCAGTCAGTTTCATG